TATAATATAGCATCATATAGTATCATACAATATCATACCGTGTCATACTGTATCATATAGCATCACACTATATCATACTGTATCATATCGTATCATATAGCATCATACTATATCATATCGTATCGTATAGCATCATATAGTATCATACAATATCATACCGCATCATACTGTATCATATAGCATCATACTATATCATACTGTATCATATCGTATCATATAGCATCATATAGTATCATACAATATCATACCGTATCATACTGTATCATACCGTATCATACTGTATCATATAGCATCATACTATATCATACTGTATCATATCGTATCAAATAGCATAATATTATATCATATCATATAATATATCATCATATAGTATCATACAATATCATACCGTATCATACTGTATCAAATAGCATCATATTATATCATATCATATAATATAGCATCATATAGTATCGTACCGTATCATAATGTATCATATTGTATCATATAGCATCATATTATATCATATCGTATCATATAGCATCATATAGTATCGTACTATATCATACCGTATCATATTGTATCATATAGCATCATACTATATCATACTGTATCATATCGTATCATATAGCATCATATTATATCATACTGTATCATATCGTATCATATACCATCATATTATATCATATCGTATAATATAGCATCATATAGCATCATACTATATCATACTGTATCATATCGTATCATTTTGCATCATAAAGTATCGTACCGTATCATATCGTATCATATAGCATCATACTATATCATACTGTATCATATCGTATCATATATAGCATAATATTATATCATATCATATAATATAGCATCATATAGTATCATACAATATCATACCGTATCATACTGTATCTATAGCATCATACTATATCATACTGTATCATATCGTATCATACAGCATAATATTATATCATATCGTATAATATAGCATCATATGGTATCATACAATATCACACCGTATCACACTATATCATACAGTATCACACCGTATCATATTGCATCATAAAGTATCGTACCGTATCATACCGTATCAAACTGTATCATATAGCATCATACTATATCATACTGTATCATATCGTATCAAAAAGCATAATATTATATCATATTATATAATATAGCATCATATAGTATCATACAATATCATACCGTATCATACTGTATCATATAGCATTATACTATATCATGCTGTATCATATCGTATCATATAGCATCATATTATATCATATCGTACTAATAAGCATCATATATAGTACAATATCATACCGTATCATACTATATCATACAGTATCACACCGTATCATATTGCATCATAAAGTATCGTACCGTATCATACCGTATCATACTGTATCATATAGCATCATACTATATCATACTGTATCATATCGTATCAAATAGCATAATATTATATCATATCGTATAATATAGCATCATATAGTATCATACAATATCATACTGTATCATATCGTATAATATAGCATCATACTATATCATACTGTATCATACCGTATCAAATAGCATAATATTATATCATATCATATAATATAGCATCATATAGTATCATACAATATCATACCGTATCATACTGTATCAAATAGCATCATATTATATCATATCATATAATATAGCATCATATAGTATCATACAATATCATACTGTATCATATCGTATAATATAGCATCATACTATATCATACTGTATCATACTGTATCAAATAGCATCATATTATATCATATCATATAATATAGCATCATATAGTTTCGTACCGTATCATAATGTATCATATTGTATCATATAGCATCATATTATATCATATCGTATCATATAGCATCATATAGTATCGTACTATATCATACCGTATCATATTGTATCATATAGCATCATACTATATCATACTGTATCATATCGTATCATATAGCATCATATTATATCATACTGTATCATATCGTATCATATAGCATCATATTATATCATATCGTATAATATAGCATCATATAGCATCATACTATATCATACTGTATCATATCGTATCATATTGCATCATAAAGTATCGTACCGTATCATATCGTATCATATAGCATCATACTATATCATACTGTATCATATCGTATCATATATAGCATAATATTATATCATATCATATAATATAGCATCATATAGTATCATACAATATCATACCGTATCATACTGTATCTATAGCATCATACTATATCATACTGTATCATATCGTATCATACAGCATAATATTATATCATATCGTATAATATAGCATCATATGGTATCATACAATATCACACCGTATCACACTATATCATACAGTATCACACCGTATCATATTGCATCATAAAGTATCGTACCGTATCATACCGTATCAAACTGTATCATATAGCATCATACTATATCATACTGTATCATATCGTATCAAAAAGCATAATATTATATCATATTATATAATATAGCATCATATAGTATCATACAATATGATACCGTATTATACTGTATCATATAGCATTATACTATATCATGCTGTATCATATCGTATCATATAGCATAATATTATATCATATCATATAATATAGCATCATATAGTATCATACAATATCATACCGTATCATACTGTATCAAATAGCATCAATATATCATATCATATAATATAGCATCATATAGTATCATACATATATCATACTGTATCATATCGTATAATATAGCATCATACTATATCATACTGTATCATACTGTATCAAATAGCATCATATTATATCATATCATATAATATAGCATCATATAGTATCGTACCGTATCATAATGTATCATATTGTATCATATAGCATCATATTATATCATATCGTATCATATAGCATCATATAGTATCGTACTATATCATACCGTATCATATTGTATCATATAGCATCATACTATATCATACTGTATCATATCGTATCATATAGCATCATATTATATCATACTGTATCATTTCGTATCATATAGCATCATATTATATCATATCGTATAATATAGCATCATATAGCATCATACTATATCATACTGTATCATATCGTATCATATTGCATCATAAAGTATCGTACCGTATCATATCGTATCATAGCATCATACTATATCATACTGTATCATATCGTATCATATATAGCATAATATTATATCATATCATATAATATAGCATCATATAGTATCATACAATATCATACCGTATCATACTGTATCTATAGCATCATACTATATCATACTGTATCATATCGTATCATACAGCATAATATTATATCATATCGTATAATATAGCATCATATGGTATCATACAATATCACACCGTATCATACTATATCATACAGTATCACACCGTATCATATTGCATCATAAAGTATCGTACCGTATCATACCGTATCAAACTGTATCATATAGCATCATACTATATCATACTGTATCATATCGTATCAAAAAGCATAATATTATATCATATTATATAATACAGCATCATATAGTATCATACAATATCATACCGTATCATACTGTATCATATAGCATTATACTATATCATGCTGTATCATATCGTATCATATAGCATCATATTATATCATATCGTACTAATATAGCATCATATAGTATCATACAATATCATACCGTATCATACTATATCATACAGTATCACACCGTATCATATTGCATCATAAAGTATCGTACCGTATCATACCGTATCATACTGTATCATATAGCATCATACTATATCATACTGTATCATATCGTATCAAATAGCATAATATTATATCATATCGTATAATATAGCATCATATAGTATCATACAATATCATACTGTATCATATCGTATAATATAGCATCATACTATATCATACTGTATCATACCGTATCAAATAGCATAATATTATATCATATCATATAATATAGCATCATATAGTATCATACAATATCATACCGTATCATACTGTATCAAATAGCATCATATTATATCATATCATATAATATAGCATCATATAGTATCATACAATATCATACTGTATCATATCGTATAATATAGCATCATACTATATCATACTGTATCATACCGTATCAAATAGCATATTATATCATATCATATAATATAGCATCATATAGTATCATACAATATCATACCGTATCATACTGTATCAAATAGCATCATATTATGTCATATCATATAATATAGCATCATATAGTATCGTACCGTATCATAATGTATCATATTGTATCCTATAGCATCATACTATATCATACTGTATCATATCGTATCATATAGCATCATATTATATCATATCATATAATATAGCATCATACTATATCATACTGTATCATATCGTGTCATATAGCATCATATCATATCATATCGTATAATATAACATCATATAGTATCATACAATATCATACCGTATCACATTGCATCATACCGTATCATATACTGTATCATATAGCATCATACTATATCATACTGTATCATATCGTATCAAATAGCATAATATTATATCATATCATATAATAATATAGCATCATATAGTATCATACAAAATCATACCGTATCATACTGTATCATATAGCATCATACTATATCATACTATATCATGTTGTATCATGTAGCATTTTATATATATATATATATATATATATATATATATATATATGTATATTTATATATATATATATATATATATATATATAATTATATATATATACACCCATTTGCAAAAACGTTGTCCGCAGATAGATAGATAGTCGAAGTCTAATTAGAATTGCATATGATTACATTTGCATGGGATTTCATTCATATTACACAACATATGCGATATCCCTAAGTTTGTACATAATCAGATTATAAAAAATCTTATTGGTAATTCCGCTTTGCTTCAAGAGGTTGCCAATTTGATAGTTTCATACGCGTATCATATACCATCAGTCGTCAGACTATATCATACCGTAACATATCTCATATGCAGTCATGGTACGTTTAAAGTGGGGCATTTTGTTTGGATTTATTTTGATATACATTGGATGTGAATGTATTCATATATGAAGCATTGAAAAAGAAAAAATCAAGAAAGCAATAAGGCTTTTTAAAGAAGATTGTCAGTATGGAATCGGTTCTCTGCTTTTACGAGATTGGCCGGCGCCAGTGTCAGCAGAAATTAATAAGCATGCACTGGACTCTCAGTTGATAGAATGCTTTACGTCGTCTGCAATATTGATTTGGGATATTCTTCGTCATTATCCCGAATTGAGTGATCTTCTTCGATGTCCTTTCTGTTTGGATTCTGGTTTAGTTTGCAGTTTACGGCGATCGGGAATGTATGCAGATAATACGTGGTCTCAAGCCGCATATCATCCCCGAATTATATACGACTGTAGCGACTCTTTGGTATTGGTTTCCCACATTTATATTTGTCCGAACAATCACCAAATTCCTGCACATCATCCATCAGTTGTCTCGGCAATACCATCTTCAGTATATGTACTATTCCTTCTCACAAATCGGGCTGGTTTTACTGTTAACATGCTTACACAAATATTAGCATTGGTGGATAATGGAATGAGTTTTCACTCAATCGAAAGTGTTGTACGTGAACAGTATTTTCAATCATATTGCCGCATGCGACATAGATTTGAATTTGGAGTTGCACACAACTCTGAAGAACAGCTGAGATTCCCTGATTTCGAACAAAGTGCGTTTCCTTTCCCACATGAAAAGGTTTTAAGGTCGGCATTTATATCTTACTCTTTCATGTTTGACAACGTGTTTTATAACGATATGATTACTCGAACAGCAGATTGGATCTCTTGCGACCATACCTTCAAGAGTGCTGGGAACATTGGTTTCCATAGGAAAACTGATGGTAAATGGATAAAAGTTCGAAAATGCTTGTTCTGTGTGTTAGGGAGAGATTCGAAAGTTCTTCATTGGCGATTCACCAGAGGGGAATCTTTTAAGGAAGTGAGTGGAATTTTTGAGGAATTAAAACATCGTTATGAAAGAGCAGGGACAACGTTACAAGGCATAATCATAGATAACTGTTGTAAATGGAAAGGGTTATTTAAACAGATTTTTCCAGATGTAACTGTTAAATTAGATCTTTTTCATGCGGTACAGCGATTTGTTAAGACAATCCCAATGGTTACGAGATTGAAAACGGATATTTGTAAAGCGTACGGTTTAATTTTTCGTGCTCCAAATGATCTCGGCAGTACTCGCCATTGTGCAACCCCTGACAGTCAAACTATGCTTTCCAATATTGACAGTTTCCAGAGAAAGTTTTCTGGTGTTATGTGGAATGGAAGTTGTATTCTCAATAAAGAGGCAATGAATGCTATACATAACATCAAAGTGCACATAACTAATGGTTGTTTAAGTCATATTCCAGCACAAGTATCTACTTCGGGAAATGAGCGGCTTCACAGACACTTAAACTATATTTTCCAGACAAACAAGATCGGCATGGATACAGCTTATATAAGATGTAGTAGGCTTTTTTATAAGCTTAATACACAGGATTCCGGTGATATGGTCGCTGCTTTTGCTTCCTCAACAAATACAAATTCACGAACAGGGCCGGTTGACATTTCGAAGAGGTCAGAGCATTTTGGCTTTGAGGATTTTGCTGGAAATGATGATGAAATTGTTTCACAAGATAAGGCGGTCATCAGTTACAAGACAATCAATGAACTGGCAACAGAAGATATAAACAAGATAAAAAATATTATATTATCTTTTCTTCCTCACGAAAACGATGAAGTCAACGACCATCCGTATCATAAAGACCCCTCAAGTGACAACAAAACAGAACTTGCAGTGGCTTATTCAGCCTTAAATTTTTTTTCAAATTTACCGAAATTTAGAAAATTTGGGAGCGACTCGGTTACTTCAAAAAAGTAACATTCCACGATCTATTGGTCTTGATAATCAATTCCAAGAGTTTAGTTCTTTAGTTACAAGTTCGAATCATGGTGATATGGCGTCGCATAAAATGACTCTTGCAGGACATTTGCAAGGATTTGGACTTGAAGAAGTTGAAGTTCAGAAAGATGGCAATTGTTTTTTTACCACTGTGGCATTCCAACTCAGCAATTTATTTTCATCAATATCAATTGAGGAAAACATTATAAGCCATCTGCGTACGATAGGTTTAACACGTGATATGGACTTGCAGCAGTTATCGCAATTGCTTAGGCTTTTACTCGTACAAGAATGGAGGAGTGATAGGTCACAAGAATATGGTAGATTTATACCCGAAATATAATATGATGCTATATTATTATTATTATTATTATACATAAAACATACTCCCAATAGGGCTTTTCAGTATGTACTAACAAGGCTAAAAATAGGTATATTTCTATCTACAATTACGTTATTGACTATGCTATGTTTATAAAATATGTTTACAATTAAGAGAAATCCTAGTTGTATAGTTATACTAAGATTTTAATACTTTAACTAAGATAGGTTTCCGTTAACGTTATTTGTTAACATATTTTTCTTTAAGTGCTTCTTAAATGTTTTAAAAGGTAGTTTTTTAAAATCTTTATCTAAAATGTTCCAGATTTTTATTGCTCTATAGCAAAAACTTCTTTGACCTGATGTTGTTTTGCATGGGGGAATATCAAGGTCGTCTTTATTCCGGGTGTTCTTGTTGTGAACTGCATTTCGTTTTAAAAACTGGTCACATAAGTACGGCGGTGCAAGTTCGTTCATGCATTTATAAGCCATTAGTGTATCTCTGTACTGTAAATGTTCCTTGACTGGGAGCCAACCGATCGCCTGTAGTACTGGTGTTATGTGGTCGTATTTCCTTGTATTTGTTATAATCCTACAAGCAAAATTTTGTACTTTTTCGAGTTTTTTTATGTTTGTTGCCGATGTATTCGACCACACCGTAGAGCAGTAATACAATCTGCTCATCACTAGGGCATTGACAATCGTGTGGAGGGTTTCGCTATCGAAGCTTTATTTGGTACAGTTTTGCCATTGAAGATGATATGACGTGTCGTATATGATGATCATAACTTAAATAACTGTCCATGAATAGCCCTAGGTCTTTGGCGTAAGAGGAAGGTGTGATCTCTTTTCCTAGGAACGAGATAACCAGTCCTTCAGTAAGGTTTCCGATTAACTGTCGAGTGCCTATTAGCATTAATTTTGTCTTTTCAGGGTTAATTAACAGCTTATTTGTGAAACACCATGTTGCAATCCTCTTAAGATCCTCTTCTATGTTACTTTTTGCATCGATTATATTCGTGATTGGAAAGGACATGAATATTTTCGAATCATCCACAAATGATTCTAACTTAGCTGTTTTTGGTGCTGTTGGAAGGTCGTTTATATAGATGCAAAATAACAGAGGTGACAATATTGCCCCTTGTGGGACGCCATGAGTGATTGAAAGAGTTTCTGATACTGAAGAGCCAATGCGTACGTATTGCTTTCTGTCTGAAAGGTAGCTTCTAAACCAATTTAGAGCCTTACGAGATACTCCAATATTGCTTAGTTTTTGAAGCAATATTGTGTGGTCGATGCTATCGAAGGCTTTGGACAGATCTAACAGAATAAGGGCAGATAGCTCTTTGTTATCCATTGCGTTCAGGAAAAAATCGTTTACTAATATATTGAGGGTTTCCGTTGAATGGTACTTTCTGTTTCCACTCTGGTGTGCCGTAAGGTGGCCGGTCCGGTTTAAAAAACTCGTGAATTGATTTAAGGCCGCTTTCTCACATACCTTCGATATTACATTGAGCATTGAGAGGGGACGGTTGTTAGAGGCTATTTCGTGATCCCCTTCTTTTAATATTGGTATGATTTCTGCTATTTTCCAGGCTTCTGGAAACGTATTAGTTGTAAATGAACTGTTGATGATATCCGTCAGGGGGCCTAAGATTACTTGGAGGCAGTCTTTAATAGTTCTCATACTGATTTTGTCGGGACCTGGTGATTTATTTGATGGCATAGATGTTAGTATGCGTTCAATTTCCGCACAGGTAACAGGTATGAAGTGGAATGACTCTTCGATCGGACATTGTAGGTTCTTGATTTCACAGGCAGACATGGAAGATATATTGATGTTATTATCTAAGGCCAGTTGCGTAGCTGTTTCGGCGGCTGTTATCCCTACTGACTGGAAAAAACTGTTAAAATCGTTGGCAACCTCTTCCTGGTTTTTGCTGTATATTGGGGTTGTTTTGTCTCTAGACGGAATGCGGCTATGAATTACTTTCCAAAGTGACCCAGGTTTGTCTTTATGTGTATTAACTTCAGTGCGGACGTAGTCTTTCTCTGCGACTTTTAAGGTGGATTTGATTGATTTTTGGACTGTTTTAAAGTTCTTCCAGTCCTCCATTTCTCGTGTCTGTTTGTATCGACGATGTAGCTGGTCTCTGTAGATCATTTGTTTTTTGATGTCAGCAGTAACAAATGGACAGGATCGACGTCGAATCTTGACCTCTTTAATTGGAGCATGGACAGCCAAAGTAGTAGAGAGGACATCATTAAGTTTTCTGAGTTTTGAATTGACATTGGAATCGAAAAAGATAGAAATGAGTTCTTGTGATCTTGTACCAAGATGGGTAATGAACTTTGAACTATCATAGCTTTTATAGCTTCGCGTCAGGATGCTCTGTACTGATGGCTTAGGAAGTTTCATGTTTAACGCGGTGTATACTGGTAGGTGGTCGCTTATGAGTGTGTCCATAACACCACTTTGATGGACAAGGTTGGGTGATGAAGTTATGATTACGTCGATTAGTGATTCACAAGTGTTTGTGATCCTGGTTGGTGAAGTGATCAATTGCTTTAAGTTCATCTCGTACATGAAGTTTTCCAATGCTGTGGTCTCAGCGGTGACCTTCATGGTGTTGCAATTGAGGTCTCCCAAAATAAATATGGGTTTGTCCTGCATGGCGGCTTGCATATAACTTGCTTTTAGGTTGTTTTCTAGGCAGGACGGCGGGCAGTCTGGTGGTCTATATGATACACAGAGCAGGATAGATCTTAACTTTTTAGTCTGAAGTTTGAGCCAAAGCTGCTGGAAGTAATCGGTGGAAACTGATGATATTTCCTTCAGTACGGTGACCTTAATATCACTCCGAATGTACGCAGCTACCCCTCCTCCTCTTTTGTGGAGGCGGTCTTGGCGGTAAATTTTATAGCCCTCCAAGTTGATCTCGGCATTTGGTATGGTTGTGTTTAACCAAGTCTCTGATAATGTTATTGCCTCAATCCTTGTCTTTGAAACAAATTCGGCGAATTGGATCCAATGGGAGGTATTTCGTAGAGACCTTATATTTAAGTGTACCAGACGGAAATGGGGGGACTTTGAAATGTTATAATTTTGCGGAGTGTCCCGTTCTATACTAAGGTCTTTCAGGGTCGAGTGTTCATTCCAAGACCTGCCTTCAGTGGTAGGAATGTCGATCATATTGGGATTTCGTAAAAGCTTGTTTTGCTTGGTATTTCGTTTGTTAATTAATTTAACATTGTGATTCGTAATCCTCACAGGTATCGGATAGACTTTATCAGGATTTCGTGAGGGATCGACGTGGCATGCATCGTTATCTAGACCCATGTTCCATTCTGGTCTACAGTACGATTGATGGGTTGGTAGGCTTGGCGGAAGTATTGTTTGTAAATGGGTGATTGGGGACGTTGGCTCAGAGTTGACTGCTGTGGGTGGTGTACATGGAAAGGCGGGAATTGGTTCTGGCCCAATGACTGGTAGGTAAGTGGTTTGTTTAGGCAATGTGATTGGTACGATGGTAACTTCCTTAGGTGTTTTACCTGATATGGTGGTGGGCTGTTTACACGTGTCCGATATTTGGCCGGTGTATGGTTTGTCAATCTCCGGTGAAAAGGAGGCCTGTTTCTGCGATCAGATTTCCGGCGGTTAGCGCTGTTATTAGTGTTGGCTTTTGGTGGGAAAGTCCGCCGGTTGTCCTGTCTACTCGAGCCAAAGGAGGACTTTTGGGATTTTGGGTTTTTTGTAGAAATGTGGGGCCGATTGGTTTGAGTGTAGTTACTGGATACTTTGGTTTCTTTTGGATATGTGTTCTTATGTATATCTCTGTGTTTCGCTTTATATGAACGTAGCTGTTCGTTCAGATGGTAGTGGGTGTATTCTTTGCTTTGTTGTTGTCTATATGACCTGATTTGCATCTTTTGATCTTTAATCGCTCGAGTATTGCCTTTGTTTTTATATGAAAGAGGGGTGGGTTCTTTGTGCATATGGTCGTTATCATTAGCCTGTTTGACATTTGGATTTGTGGGGGCGGTAATTGCCGGATTTTCCTCGGCCTCGTTAGGCTTGCAAGTTGAGGGTATCGTATCTTCGAGTAATATGATGTTAGGAATTTGATCTTTATCCGGATTTAGCTGTCGTTCGCCTGTTCCTTTATTGACCATACGTTTGATTTCAATTAGGTCTCTTTCCATCTGTTTTATTTTTCCTGTTTCCTTTGAGAATTCTTGCATTTGCAATTCAAATTTGTTAATGTTGTGGCCAGGGAATGAACGACCTTCTTGTACGTTTGCTAAAGATTGTAGGGCATCGGTTTTTGATTGTAATATCTCGATATCGAGTCTAATACCGTCGAGATCAGTTGTGATTTGAGTACATGAACACTGATCAGAAAGTTTTTTGGGTGGCTCGCTACTTGCTCCGCTCTCGTCATTCAAGCGTGGTAGGCCAAGGCCAAGCGTTGCTTCGCCCATTAGGATGTTACAAAACTGCTTTTTGATTCTATTGGCTTCTCTGCCACTGAGTTGGAGCTTCTTCTGTTTTCTCCACCACATTATTGTCGTTTGGCCATTGCTGTAGGATTTTCGCTCGTCTCCCGGTGATTTCCAAGTACCGTTAAGATCAATATTCAAATCTACAAATCGTTTGAGAGATTCGAAATCTCCTGACCAGGAGAGTTTCAAGTGGGAGTTTAGTTCACCACAAATGGCGTTGTTATCGTTGTTTGATTGTGTAGAATCGATATCTCCATCCGATGGTTGGGAATTACTGTTGGCATTCGAGTTAATCGAAGAGCGCAAAATCTCCTGGCACTCCGCCATGTCGCCTATCAAATACACGCCTATATTTGAATTTCGAATATGCGGCGTAAACAGTGTACGTATTTAACAGAAATATTTTCATATTCCGATATGATACGATATGATACAGTATGATATAGTATGATGCTATATGATACAGTATGATACGGTATGATATTGTATGATACTATATGATGCTATATTATATGATAT